CACATAATTTCACATAACAAACATAGGGTCATAACCCTCAAAGGAAACTCCACAATGTGTACATAAGGGTTCGAAATCCAAAGTACACGTAAATCAATTTATTATTAGTTGGCGAGGGGCGCCATACGGCCCACAACCCTCTAGTCTCCAATATAACATACCAAGAGGGGATTGTTCGCAATCCAACCCTCCATCACGGATGACGGTCTAAAGACCTTTCCATCGTGAATGACGGGCACCTCGGAATCACCCAAAAAGGGAACCCGCCATCTCGATCCCTCGACCTAGCCCATTCGGGATCTAGTTCAAGGTTAGCTAGTTATCCTAAAATACCGGTATACCCTCACGTGTTTGCAAGGCACAGAGGTGGAAGGCTATGCCTTATCATCCAAACAATCGACGAGTTGATCGGACTCGACGGGTAGTTTCAATTACCAATTTGACCAAATACTCAACATGCTCTTAGGCAAATTTCAAAAAGAGTGTCTTAAACTCAAAATATTCCAATTGTCAACATTTAACCATGCAAAGTAGGATATTAGACCCAACAATTTCATCATAAACACACTTTATTTCGCCAAGTAAACATTCGAAAAATATTTCAATCACAATAGGCATGGTCTAATCCCAAAAATCATAATATTTAAATATAATCGTAAATCTTTTTCCAAAAACCATAACTAGGTTAGGGCAAAACTAGGGTTTCAAACCCATCCCATAAATTTTATGCTTTTCAATTTAAAATCCAATAACAATCTTCACATAAACATTATAATCAAGTTTCTAGAAGAAATTGGCAAAACCTAACACTTTTGGGGCAAACCCATTTGACAAGAATATTGAAAAAGATATCAATAGAAGGGGTTTAGGGATTAGAACATACGAATCTACCTAAGATTAATCTCACTTACCTCAATAGAAAAGACCAAAAAGAAGAATTTTGGAGAAGAAGAACTCCAAGGGAGAGTAGGGGACTGGCGGCGGCGCTGGCGGGCGTGCTGGCTGCTGCTGCTCATTTTTATTTTTATTTTTATTCTTTTATTTAACATAACATACTTAGTCCTTTATTAATATTTTATTCTACTTTTGCCCAAACTCAATTTTTAATTCTAATTTAAACCCAACTCTTCAATTAATTACACTAAAAGACCAAAATAAATTATGCCCAAAATGAAATTTGTTCGACTCCGGCAAACTTCCGGCGATTATTTTACGGGGTATTACAGTTTGTCTTTGGAACCAAGTGGTCTACCGCACTTTAAACGTGTCGCTGATTCATTAGCACTTGCAATTTGTCAATTGGGGACAATTATTTTAGCTGGAGCATTAGTAGCTTGAATATATGATCAAGTGACTTTAATTGAGTCATTGAATGCATCCGGTAACTGATTTGCAATATTTTGCAAATGTATAATGCATTGAAATTTTAATGCAGACTGCTTTTTACGAGGATCACAAAAATTCAATGGGATTTTCCAATTAATATCCCTTTTCGATTCATTTCTGTCTCCCCCTAATGTCGAAAAATATGATTTATCAAAATGAAAATTTGCAAATCTTGCAGCGAATAAATCACCCGTCATAGGTTCAAGATATTTTATAATTGACGGTGATTCATATCCTACATAAATATCCAATCTACGTTGAGGACCTATTTTTGTACGTTTGGGGGGTGGAATAGGAACATAAACAACACACCTAAAAATAAGTAGATGAGATATATTCGGCTCGTGACCAAATACTAATTGCATTGTGAAATAGCTATGATAGCTTGTCGGCCTCATTCTTATAAGTGTTCCTGCATGTAACATTGCATGCCCCCAAGTTGAAACGGGCAACATAGACCTCATCAGTAATAGTCTAAAAATCAATTGCAATATTTTAATAAGTGATTCTGCCAGGCCATTTTGTGTATGAACATGAGCAACTGGGTGCTCTACATTAATTAATATCGATATACAATAATCATCAAATGCATCCGATGTATGTTCACCAACATTATCCAGACATATAGTCTTAATGGGATTATCAGGAAATTGTGCCCGTAATTTAATAATTTGGGCAAGCAATCTCGAAAATGCCATATTGCGAGTAGATAATAAACAGACATGTGACTATCTGGTAGATGCATCAATAAGCATCATAAAATATTTAAATGGCCCACATGGTGGGTCTATTGGTCCACATATATCCCCGTGTATTCTTTCAAAAAATGTAGTGATTCAATACCTACTTTAGCTGACGATGGCTTGGTTATCAATTTTTCCAGAGTGTAGGCAACACAGGTTAACTTATTTGAGTTTAACACTTTTTGACCTTTTAATGAATGGCCATGCGAATTCTCAATTATTCGCCTCATCATTATAATGCCAAGATGCCCAAGACGATCATGTCATATTTGAAAATCGGCAGTCTTTTGATCTACCGTGAGGTATGTTTCAACAACACCTAATCTGGCATAATATAAGCCAGTAGAGAGTGAGGGTAATCTCTCAATGATGCATATCCTTTTATCAATGATATTGGTGATCAATAAAAATTCACCATCGGTATCACTCATAGTTTCAATGTGATAACCATTTTTCCAAATGTCATGAAAACTCAGTAAATTTCTTCGAGTTTTAGTGGCCAACAGTGCATATTGTATCACAATTTTCGTCCCCGCGGGGAGAAATATAATGGCTTCTTCAGAGCCTTCAATTAATTTTGCACTACCACTTATTGTATTGACATTCATTCTTTCCCTTTTCAAATGAGAGAAATATTTTTCGTGTTTTAATATAGTATGTGTCGTTGCAATGTCAATGAAACACATATTTGCATCATTTTGTTTGGCATCCATTTAACCTTCAAATATAAATAACGTAGTATTAATAAAAGTAAATATAAATATTACAAAATATATTATAGAAGGGTAATATGCGATAATTTAAATATTATAAAATATAAAACATAATATAAAATGACATAGTATGTCTGTTGATGACTAAAAATGTGTTGTGTGTTTACACAATTCACAGGGAATTTATATTCGAAAATCAGTGAGTGGAAGTTTATAGAAAACGATGAGATATAGTAATTTTTGTGGTTGTAGACCCTGAGTAGTTATCACAATTATTTATACTCTTTTTACTGGTGAGTTTTCAGGTCGAACACAAGGATTTTAAGTCATGAATTTCAACGGTGAAAATCTTGAAGAAGCGATGAAAACTGCAGGAAGGGATCCGCTTATAGCGGATCCAAAAGATAGGCTAAAGAAAGCAGTAAGTAAAGCAGTAAAAGTGAAGTGAGCGGAAGCGAGTGAAGCGAGGGCGGAAGATGAAGTGCCAGCGGTGACCAGATGAACGGGACATGAGCGGAAGTGGGGACCAGATGAACGGGACATGGATGAATGACGGTTACCGAGTGAACAAAACATGAGCAAACAGCACATTATATGTATATGTATTTATATATATATGGGCGAAAAAGAGTGGAGGAGAGATGTTCTGTCTGAACTGTGCGTTACTAAATGGATAGATTTCCCTGGAGGCAATGAGCGAGCGATGCAAGTGTGTTATCGGAAATATATGTATTTTACGAAAGCGATGAGAAGGAAGTTATGTAATTATATAAACTGAATATAAAGAATTCATAACACTGGAATTTTTTACCTTAAGGGATTTACTACAAGACTTCAATGACACCCAGATTCAAGACATTATAAGAAAGAAACCCTACTGTCACTAGGAATCTCTGCGACCTAATAGACCACCGCCTATGCCCCGTTAATTTTCCAAAAATCTGCCTTATTAGTGGCTTTACCCTTCTGTTACCTCTTTTTAATCAAAATTGAATTCAGAACACCAGTTAAGCATGTCGACAAGGCTCCCGCGTACTTAACTATATTGAACTACCTTGAGACCGCTTTTGACGCATAACAAGGCTCAAATAATCAATTCTTCTCTAGCTCTAAACCAGTGAAATAAAACTCTCTAAATTCAAACTTTATATAAGTGTGTAAAAAAATGTGGAAGAAAATGAGGGTGAAGAATCGAATGATATTTCATTATCTAGTACGAAAGCAGGAAAAGACTAGAGCTACAAGGCTGTAAACGAAAGTAGTAATCTAATCTAAAAAAACTGTAAAGACTTGGCTAAGGGAGGAGGGAAACCCCTACTCCCTTGGCCATTCCTGTGGAGAACTCCCTTACAGAGTTGGAGCTCTCGGAGACAGGAAGACAGCTTGCTTGCGAAAAGTAATTGCTAAGAGTATTTAAAATCGAAGTATCGATCCTTATTCATAAAGATATCTGGCCCTATTTATAGCAGGTGGGACGGGGCGGTTGCAATCGGTTGCTGGGCGGTTCCAACCGCTAGGCACTTAGGCGGTTTCTGGTAGTTATTCTGTTGAAGCAGTTGCTGGCCATAACTCCCAGGGTGCTCGCTTTGATTGCATTGAACTCTAAGGGCTCAGATCTTCGTCCCTTGCCGGAGAGCTGGAGGGCATCAGCGCAGCTAGGCTCGCTTGTGCTGGCTGGAAATAAAATGGTTGTACCACTGCAGTTGGAACACTTAGTTGGAATCTGGTGATAATCTGCAGCGGTGGGTGTCTGGGCTGTCGCTTGCAAGCGGGAGAGGCTGTCGCTTGCGGGTGGTGAAGGCTGTCGCTTGCCTCTCATGCCTTAGTATTTCTCAGGACGTATTCTAGGCGCTTGCGAGCGGAGGTGGCTGTCGCTTGTGGCGTCTGCCTTAGTATTTCTCAGGACGTATTCTGGGCGCTTGCGAGCGGAGGTGGCTGTCGCTTGTGGCGTCTGCCTTAGCTTTTCTGGCACCAGACTACCGCTTAAAAAGGGCAAAAATCGTTAATAATCTCAACAACGAATTCTGGATCATGCTAAGCAATATAGATCAATAATGTATGCCATTAATGAGTCATTGTGATGGTTTTTATACAGAAATTCAAGTAATACACAATTTCGTCAAGCTAAGAATATGCTTATATTTGGAGTCATCATCTGTCACCAGAGATTTGCTAGATCTACGACAAAATCCGTTATATCAAGATGGGTTGTGTCGTAATCCAGAAGATCATCATCAGGGTCGTCATCGTTATCAACGTGATTAGTCTCAACCTTTTCCCCCATTTTCTGCAGTGAGGCTTGATAAAAATGGGCTAGCTGTTTGGTTGTTCTGCAGGTATTGACCCAATGGCCTTCAATGCCACACCGATTACCAATGTCGATTTTCCTTTTTCGTTGTTTAGCCTTTTCGGTTATATCCTCATATTGGGGTTTACTCTGCTTCATGTTAATGTCAAAACTGCGGTGATTGTAAGGGGTATATCGACCGCGTTGACTTTCATGACCGCGACCACATCCACGGCCTCTACCACGTCCTCGGCCTCGTTCAGAAAATGTCACATTCGCTTCAGGGAATGGACTGGAACCAGTGGGCCGGGACTGATGATTTTTCATCAGTAACTTATTATTTTGCTCAGCTAATAAAAGACATGCTATGAGCTGTGAGTATTTTTGAAAAAAATTTTCACAATATTGTTGTTGCAGCACAACATTAGAAACATGAAAGGTAGAGAAAGTCTTCTCCAATTTATCATTCTCAGTAACAATTTCTCCGCAGAGTTTCAACTGAGGTGTAATCTGATTAATAGCAGAGTTGCACTCTATAATAGTTTTAAAATCCTGCAACCGCAGGTTAAGCCAATTATGTCGGGCTTTCGGGAGAGTGATATATTTCAAGTGCCCAAATCTCTCCCTCAATTCATTCCACAAATCAAGTGGATCTTTCAGCGTCAAATATTCGAACTGTAAAGGAATGTCCAGATGGTGACGAATGAAAATAATAGCCTTAGTCCGATCTTGGCTTGTAGTTGCATTTTCACTAGCAATTGTATGAACAAGACACATAGGAACCAAATACATTTCTACATTCAAGGACCAAGTCAGAAAATTATTGTCGGTAAAAGACAGAGGTTTAAAAGAAAATTTTGCATGATTTTCCATAGTTTAGAAAATAGATAATATAAAAACTTAACAAAAATAAAACAGACAAGAGCCATATAACGTGTTATATAATAATAATAATATAATATAATATTGGTAAGTATATATAATATATAATATATGTATATGGATGTATGCTGTAAGTATATATTATCATATATATTTATACATATAAGGCACTATGTATACATATATATTAGATATGATATGTACTAGTGCAATTAATGCAAGAGAGAAGGAGCGGGAGAGATTTGTAAATGTGGAGAATTGATTTCATCCAAGTACATCGTGGTATACATATATCTATAGGTTTTTTCAACCAATCACAAACATCCACACCTAGTCTAAGTCTCTGTCAACAAAATGCTACGTATTGCATTTGTGTACAACACTTATTTAATTTTTTTAAAAAATAAAAAAATAATTAATTTAACTGAAATTACAATATGCACCCCTCTTTTTCATTTCTCTCACCCCTTCTAAATATTTTTATACCAAATTATTTTTGTTTTCAGCGATACCATTCAAGTTCTATTTTTCTCGCGATACCAATGGCAGCTAAACATCTTTGTCGAAGATGCCCGCTCTGTTCCGATAAGATAGAATTTTGTTGTTCATTTTTTTCTCTTATTATATTTTATTAGATTTAACCTAATACACACTTCATTATGATTTCATAATCGACAACATAGTTTCTTTCCGCTTCGGTATGTTTTACTCTTTTTTCTTTTTTTTTTTTTGTATTTTTGTTGTTGTGTGGATGTGTTGGATTTTGATTAAATTTTGTGTTGTAGTGTGTTTCGGTAACATTTGGCATATTATTAAATATTTGAATGGTTTACTTCTGATTCGTATTTTCAAATATTTACAATTAAATTGGACATTTTTTATGGTAAATTATTTGCTTTTATAAATGATTTTTGCTAAATTTTTAATGAGATCGACGAGGTCCATGCTTTAGACATGAATAAGTAATGAAGATGTTTTCTGATTTTTTTAAATAATGTTTGTTTGAATTTTTAAATTACAGGTAATGGAGATTGATGATTTAGGCATGAATAAATCTCTGTCTTCACGTAGATTAGACTTTACGAATATAGAAAATGATGATGAGTCGTATAAGCATATATTTCTCCTGAAGAAATGCCTCAAATTGAATACGAGTTTGACAATGAAGAAGACACTTATCAGTTTTACTTAGCTTATCCTAGAAAAAAAGGTTTTGATTTGAAAAGATACAAAGTGCAAAAAGATCGAGTAGGAAAGATAAAATTAAGAATGTTTTCATGTAGTGGCGAAGGTGCAAGGGGATAAAATAAAAGAAATGTCAATGTAAGAGCTCAATGGGCAAAAACAAGATCAAAGTGCACGGAAATGATGAGAATTCGATTGAAAGATAATAAAAACTACGATGTATTTGAGTTTATTTATGAACATACTCATTAGCTTACTAGTCCTCAAAAGACTCATTTTGATCCATCGCAGAGGAGGATAGATGAGGTCCATGCTGCTCATATTGATATAGTCGAACACGTGGAACTTGCTCCAAAAGTCTTACATGATTGTTTATTTTTTTTTTGGTTGAGCCCAAATAGGCTGCCTACGTACCCCAAGTGGGGGATCAAGGCATATGTAGTTCTCCAAGTACAAGCAATATAGTCAATACAAGTAATCAACCAGCTAAGAGCCTAAGTCTAGCCTAAGTAAGCAATCCCTAAAACTATCAGACTAGAAGACTACCAACGGAACTACAAGTACAAACTACATCAAATGAAATCCATCGCCCAATCATATATGCCTATGGGGGGCAAACACACTCGATGAAAGCGAAAACTCGGTCGACCCTCGACATCTTAGTAAGAGACCTCGGATCCAAGGAGGGATGTCCTCTGGCTCTAAAATCCAAACACCCAAAAAGGAAACAATTGTGTTTACTAGCGCATCTGCCACCAGGTTTCCCTCGCGGTAGATATGGGAGATCCGCCAAGTGATACCACAGAGCTATACTCGCAATAGACTAAGGCACATCTGAAGGGCCCAGTGCCCGGATGGTGATGAAATCAATGCCATACTGCACGTCGAGTTAGTTTCAATCCATAGGGGGAAGAAACCACGCTCCACTGCTAAAACCACACCTCTACATATCGTCTTCAATTCTGTCAAAGTATTTGTTATGTGTTGAATTGGCGACTGATATGCCAACATAATCGCTCTGAAGTTGTCTCATATGACACCGGCGGCTCCCGCCGGTCCCAGGTTTCCAAGCGATGCACCATCCGTATTCAACTTGAACCATCCCGGGGATGAAGCCTCCCACCGCACAAGTGATGGCGGTCGATGGGTCGGCGGAGGGTATCAAAATCCGAGATTCTCCGCAATATGTAGATCACCCTCCCAATATCTCCGGTTAAGAGCACCGGCATTCCATAACACCTGCAAATGAGAATGTACACGCTATATTATCTTGTTGGGTGAGAAAGGAATATCTCGGCGCTTTGTGTCATTTCCGTCGGTCCATAAGAACCCCATAATCAATAAGGGGATAAAGGCCCAGATGCTCCCCGAATGAGTTGACGAAAGCCGCCAAGAGGATAGCATAAGGTGTGGCACCCTCGTGTCCGGAAAAGTAACCCGAAAGAGCGTCGAAAAGTGACTCCAAACTCTCATAGCCGCCGCCAATTCGAATAATAGATGTGCTATCATCTCATCGGCATGACAACACTGACATCTCGATACGATGTAAACTCCATAGTGTCAAAGTATCTCATCCACTAGTATGTTCAGCAAAATAAATGCCACAAGAAAGCCAACATAATAGGAGTAAGAATATGTGACCATAGAGCCTCTGAAAGCCAACTTTCGAATGCCTACGTCTCTACAAAGGTCCCATGCCAAAAATGTAGTGAACAACCCGGATGTCGAGGGCTTCCAAGTCATCCGATCCATAGACTGACGGTCAACAGGGACCTCCAAGATCCGACAAAGAGGCTCGTAATCGATCATAATCCCAAGTAACATCCCTCAGTATATCCCGAACAAGACAAGCTGGCGGCCTCCTATCACAATAGGCCGAAAGGGGCTGCTCCCTGCACTAAGTATCATACCAGAAGAAACAGTCACCCTGACCTAAACTCCAATAAATCCGTGATTGCACCTCATCGCGGACTTCACACAATCTCTTCTAAACCAGACTTTCATAGCTCTGAAATGGGGCATCTCCTGGGAAAGTGGTGCAAACGTACTTGTGCTTCATCGCACGAGCCCACAAGAAAGTACCATCCCTAAGCCTCCACCAAAGCTTATATGAAAACACCTCAACCATATCCAATAATCTCCTAACACCTAATCCCCCTTTCTTCACCGGTCTCATCGCCTCCGCCCAGGAGATCTAATGATGCCGCCGATGGCCCTGATATGAGCCCCAAAAGAACCTCGCCATTAATTGCTCCACAGAATAAAGAACCGCTTGCGGCGGCTGGAGAACCTATAGTAAATACAATAGTATGGAGAAAAGAGTGCTCTATATCAATTGGAGACGACCTCCATGTGAAAGAACGACATAATCCCATCTCCCTAAGTGTCTCCGCAGCTTGCCAATAAGCCCTTCATATAAAATATTCCTCCAATTACCAACATAGAGTGATGCACCAAGGTAAGTAATTGGGAGCTCGGCCTCCCCAAAACCCGTGGCCTCTTGAATCCGATCACGCACCTCCTCCGGGCATCGTCGGCTAAAGACCACTTGATTCTTTTGACAGTTCACCTTTTGCCCGGTAATCCGCGCATAATTATCCAAGAATACCATGAAATAGTCAATCTCTGAGCTCCTAGCATTAGCAAATATCAACACATCGTCCGCATATGCCAAATGTGACAAGTGAAATCCCCTACGGCACCGATAATGAAGATTTGAGTGTCTTCCGAATAAGCGCTCGAGTCCCCGTGAAAGTCAATCTACCACCGTAATAGATAGGGTTGGTGAAAGCAGATCTCCTTTCCGAACCCCATGCGAGGACTTAAAGAATCTGCCAATATCTCCATTAATCAACACCGAATGCCATGCGGATTCCACACATCCCATTACTAGCTCAACAAATCTCTCCGAAAATCCAAATCGGATGAGCACATGCCTAAAAAACCTCCAAGAGACCCGATCGTATGCTTTATCTAAGTCTAATTTCATCAAGACATTATGCGAAGCCCTCCTAATGTTTAAATCATGCACCATCTCCGACGCCGAAAGTATGTTATCGGCAATTGCATGCCTTTTAACGAACCCGCTTTGGTGCGAGGACAAGAGCCTAAGGAAAAAAGGTCCCAATCGAACCGTAAGCAACTTCATAATGATTTTATTGCTTATATTACATAGGCTGATTGGCCTATAATCTGACCACGAAACCGGCCCCTCATTCTTTAGGATCAAGACAATTGTTGTCGCCGAGTTGAATTTTGGGAGAGGAGTCCCCGAGAAGAAATCCAGCACCGTTGAATGGAGATCCGGGCCTACAATATCCCAACAATGTCGATAAAATGCCGCCCAAGAAGCCAAAGTAAATGGAGGTGAGAAACACTTGAGGGGTGCTAGAATATTTGCAAGGGATGCAAAGTAGAAACCCAAATTCCTCATATTCCATTCATGTTTATGAAGATGATATGATTAAAAATATATTTTGGGTAAAATTGCTCATAACTTCCTTGTGGTTTTGAAATTCAACATAAAATCTCATTGTACTTTAAACATTGCATAGCACCCTCTTATACTTTAAAAAATGTTGCATGAAACCTCATCACCATGAAAACTCTATTGTGTGATGAAAAGATGATTTCCTATCTATATGTTTTGCATGATGGGAGGGGTTCATGCAATATTGTTGGGTTGACGGGAGAATGAGAGCAGATTATGTTGATTTTGGAGACGTAGTTTCTTTCAACACTATTTTAGAAAGTTTAGGCAAAACCATCCGTTGGTCTTATTTATCGGTGTTAATCACCACAAACAAATAATAGTTTTTGGTGCAACACTTTTATACGACGAGACTATTCCCACATTTAAGTGGTTGTTTGACATATTCGCTAGCACTAGTATGGAAAAAACATACTACCATTTTGACCGATTAAGATCAAGTAATGGCAAATGCGTTGGCTTCGAGGTGTGCTGAGACCCATCACAGGTTTTCTATAAGGAATAAATAGTTCCATACATTTAAGTTTAAATTTAATAACATTTAGCTGTTTTTTTTGTAAATATTTTATTCATAATTTTTATATTTTTAGGTTTTTTATTTGGCATATTTATCAAAAGACAAAATAACGTAAAACCCTCATGTGGTTTCACGAAGTTGCTGAAAACCTCCTATGGTTCTAAAACTTCAAAAGACCTATTTGTGGTTTATACAACATTGCACACTTGCCCCCTTCCAATGGATGCTATCAGTGGACCATTTTTCCCCTTAGTGTAATTTGTAGTTAGGAACTAAGGAAAACTATAGGACACTCTTCTCGTGATTTCACTCATACCCACATTGGCACATTGTTCTATCGCACAATCCCGATCGCAGTGGCCTATCACCCGATGCCGCCACCGCCACCCGCAGTGAATAGAATTTGTTTGATGCCGATTTGTTTTGATGGGGTAGAGACTATAATGAGAAAATGGACGTGTGGAGCACCGAAGTAATTTTGTACATAATGTTGGCCGGAGTGCCGCCGTTTATCAGAGACAGATCAGCGGAGACCTTTGAGTTGGTGCTACGGATGAATTTGCAGTTTCCAACCAAGTTATTCCAGTTAGTATCACCACAGACCAAGGATCTGTTAAGGAAGATGATTTTTCGAGATTTATCTAGAAGATTTTCCGAAGAGCAAGTCGTGAGTAAGGATTAATCCCCTTTCATATTCCTCAATTCATATTTACATCAGTCAATTCTTAACAATATACGGTTTCTGATGCTTAACCCCCTTTCACATTCTTCAATTTATATTTACAACACTCAATTCTCAAAAATTAATGGTTTATGATGCTTAATCCTCAATTCATATTTACAACACTCAATTCTGAACAATTAAAAGTTTTTTAATGCTTAGTCCCCATTTATAATCTCAATTCATATTTACAGCACTCAATTCTCATAGATTTATGGTTTTTGATCCAAATTCCAAAAATTAATTTTAATCTTGTAATTTCAGAACATTCATGGTTCATAAATCGAGGAGAGACGTCAATGGATGATGTAACCTAAAAACTTATGATTTTTCTACTCATGTGGGTAGAGCTGAGTCACCATAGCCAGCCAATTTGCAAAAATGGAGGAAGAAACATAGGAATTAGAACTGGAAGTCTATAAGTGCAGTTGCTTTACTCTTTATCCCCCTTCCTATGGTTTCTCTGCACATTAGATATATATGGGAGAAGATGAAAAATCACAATTCTCAGTTGATGTTACTAAGTTATGTGTGCCTTCATTATTTTGAATATCTGTTGAGAATATGATCTACCTGTCGCTGTTTGTTTTATTCCTTGAATTGAATATATCCTGAATTCTGAACCTACACAATCGAGTGAGGGTAATATGTTGTGGAAGAACTTAGCCGTATTGGATTTTGGGTGAGGATAAGACATTATGAAATAAAAGAAGGTGAAGAAGAGAAAAGTGCTTATAATAAAATCAGAGGGTCATTTTAGTAATTTCACATACAAATTTATCACTTTCTGGACCAAAATTTGCATTTGAGGCGCGTAATATATACTCTCTGTTAAGTCCTAACGGAGGGGGGGGTTTCCTGCAATATTTTATAAATCACAAGTAGGTTTTTTGGAGATTTAGAACCAGAAGGAGTTTTCAACAACTTTGTGAAACTACGTAGGGATTTTATGCTATTTTGTCTTATCAAAATGCTGCCATACATTTGGGTGAAGCCTTTGTTGAGTATAAAACCTTTGCATATGATTTTGGGAGATGTGTTTATGATTTTGATGAAGAGGATGAGTTTTTGCATGAATTAGATGAAATGCTAGTGAGATATGATATGGTGGAAAATATCCGGTGGTTAAAATTATTCAAAGTGAAAGAAAATTGGGCTTTGGTATACGGTCGTCCATTCTTTTGTGATGATATTACGAAGACACAACACAGTGAAAGTATTAATAGTGTCGTTAAAAGATATGACGGTTTGAAGAATAACTTGCGGGTACTTTTGAAAAGTTTGAAAATCTGATTGAATCTCTACGATATGCAAAATTACAGGCCGATTTCAAAGCAAGTACCAGTGCAACTATACTCCCAATGCCAACTCATCTCCTAAGACATGCCACAAGTGTGTATACCCCATAAGTTCTTAAAATATTCCAGTAGAAATTGGAGAAATCGTATGATTATGTATGAGCTGTTACTAGAATACATGAAATCATTAAAGAATATCAAGTTAGTTATCTCGAGAGTTTAAGCTACCATTTTGTCAAATACGATTCATCAGATGGGACAGTTATATATAGCTGCAAGAAATTTGATTTTTTTGGGATATTATGCTCTAATGGACTGAAAATCCTCACGAAAAATGATATTTTGAAAATCCTGGATCAATATATAATGAAAAGGTGGACAAAAGATATGATGATAGGTGTTTTACATAGTGGAATGCATGGCGAGGACCATGGTAGGGATGACCCAAATAAAGAGTTAAGCTTTCGCTATAAAAATTTGAGTATGTTATTCAACAAACTGGAAAGGCTAGCTTCATAAAGTAAGGAATCTTATGAATTTCCTAAAGATACACTATTGAGGACTACTAAAATAGTGAGTGAACAATTACAAAGCTGAAAAGAGGAGTGTGAGGGATAATCTATGAAGGGGGTTGCTAACATTGGTATGAACAAAGAAGACAATATTTGTTTAAAATTTAGGGAAAATTGCAAAAAATGCCCCGTATGTAGGTCCAATTATAATTTTCAGGCATTTTGTTTTTCACTTTCGCATTTTAGGACAATTTGTGTAATCTGTGCATGATTTTTACCCTTCGGCGTCGGAAAAACGCATGTGAATATCACGTGCGCCTATGTGGCATTGCCGGTGCAAACATAGACTTCGTCAGTGGTGTGTTGTCGCCTGTGTGGACATCGGAGGAGTGACGTGGAATTTTGATTTATTTAAAAAATATAAAAAAAACAAAAAAAATTAATTTGGCCCGATTGGACCAAATTGAAATTTAAACTCTAGATCCACGATAGACAATCCCACTGCCTCATTCTTCCACCCATTGAATCGATTTTCTTTCTCTCAAAAATCAAAATCACTCATCGCAATTTTGTATCGAACCAATAATTTCATCCATCAAACACATCTACCCGCGTCCACCGTTGACCTCCGTCACATGCCGTTTCCGCCATCGTCTTTCAGTGCATTGATGGAAAATTCCCAACAAATTTCAAGTGTATTAAAATTTTGAATTTTTTTAAAAAAATTTTAGAATGATTTTTTTTTTAATGGTGATATTCCGCTCCAGTCATGGAGTTTAGAACAAGTTTTTTTCTCAAATTTTGTACAGTTTTAGTAGTTTAGAATGAGTTTTTATTTCTAAGATTTTGTGTATTTAAACATATGAACAAGCGAAGGTGGGATCTCGTCGTCGGCACCTTTGGACTTAGAGTGCCACTGCACAGTGAAAGTTGTAATGTACACTTCATGGACGGTGGATAATCCTGGAAGAATATTCAATTGTTGTTCGAAAACGAAGGTATCGTGTTTTGTGAACCATTGTAATTTCGATATTACACACACTCATCATTGTTCATTCATCATACATGTAGAGAGAAACACGATCAGGGTGTGGATATTTTCGGTAGGAAGATCCGCCAATGTGCAGTCGAGCGAAAGCTATAATCCTGGGCTTATTGAAGAAATTGAATGATCATGATGCTGAAATTAAGCTACTGAAGCAACAAGTTTCAAAGATGAACGATCAGGATGCTGAAATCATGTCACTAAAACAAGAAATTAGAAAAGTTAAATCAAAATTGACGATTGTTGTATGTTGTCTTCTTGCTGTTGTTTTATACATGTGGTTGAAGTAAAAAAAATAAAGATTGTACCGTGTTACTGTAGGATGTTTGCATTTGCAAGTTGTAGTAGTAAATTTGTTAGCATTACATGGGAAATAACATTGCAAATATTATTCCGAGCAACATTACATATCATGATACACAAAATAAGTTCTAACAGTGGTCCTATGTACAAAACATGGTTACCAGTTTCGATATAGCTTAACTTCAGACAACGTAATCACATTATAAGACATGATGCACAAAAGACAAAAAGACATCTCAAAAATTCATATCAATCCGGCACAATCAATCCACCATCAATGATAGAAGACAAAGCACCCATAATACCATTACCACACACAACTTCTAAAATGCATCAACTTAATTTTTTAATTGCATGAGTTGTGGTTGAGCCCCTTCGTAAACCATGTCGCTTCTCAAAATCCCTGCTTTGTTGGACGAGCTTTGATAGTTTCTGTTGACGGACGTACGCTGGAAGCTCGTAGAAGGAAATGCCTTCGTATTGGTCCAGGTTCGAAGCAATGGGTGCTCATGAAATTTTCAATTGCTCGAACATTAATGGTGGTTTACGAGCTGCATTTTCAACTTGTCCTTTTTGCTTCTTCTCCTGCGGCCGTACCAAAATTATGAACCCATTGAGGTTACATAATAAAATAAAACATGCTTGTGAAAGATATATCACCTATCGCACATCTGTTTGTTGGTTTACATCCGAAGGTAATTGGATCTCTTTACCTTTGTTTCTTGTTTGTCGAAGAAAAAAGAAAGTTTGATATGAAGGAGATAGAAATACAAGAGCGTTATAGTATAATAAATAGATAAAACTCACGCTTCGTCGTGGTGGTAGTGTAGTGAGCTTTACTCGATGAGGTTCTGCATTGCATTTTGGGGAAGGCTGTAGAGGCACAAAACTAAAACGTCAAATAATGTATTAAGATGGAATAAGCCGTCGACAATATAGTTTAGATGTACCATAGGTGTTTCTATCACGGTTGTTGGGAGACAATTTTCAACTGGACGTTGTTCAATCAGGGTTGTTGGGGGATCTGGTTCAACGGAAACTTGTTCTTTACTTCCCGATGTATTAGGTGCCCTAACATTTCTTGTCTAAGTCACCGAAACAGAAAATATGAGTGCTCCTGAAAGCAAATTTTACAAGAATTTTGGAGATATAAAGCTGCATACACTACGCTGTAAAGGTAGCATTGGTTGTCTTTTTCGTTTCGGTTGTGTAATTTGATCAACCCTTCTACACGCAACATTGGCAGTGGATTCTTGTGTTGCTGGGTCGATTTGTTCCTCAGTCACACCCTAGGATAGTTTAATTGTATTGGATAAACATCCACACAGTGTTAATAGAAAACCACACAATGCAGTGTTAGAACCAAACCGTAGTATTTTCCTTACTGGAGCACTTTCGTGGACCGAAGTTTGTCCGCATTGTTCTTCAGTTGCGGGCAAATGTTCTGCACTGGTTGCTCCCTCGTCCATAGTTTCTCCATCTTCCATAGTTGTATCCTACATATTAACACACAGGTCAAAAAAAAGTAACACGTATTATATTATATAAACTTATAAAAATCTATATACAAACCTTATGTTGTGGGTTCAGGGATGGGCAGTGGGTTGCATTATGGCTAGCAACACCACAACAACCACATTTAATGGTGGTTTGCCTTCTTTTCAACCTCGACGTTCCCTCTTTTATCTTAGGATTTTTCCAAGGCTCATCAGAATCACATTTTTGTTGTTTCTTTGGCCTCCCAATGCGTCTCCTAATAGTGGGTGGCTTCGGAGGAGGGTAATTTGTGGGTTCCCAAAACACCTCACTACTTACGGCTTTGATTGAATAGGCACACACTCGCTTATATGTTTCCACATGATACACACTGCTCACATAGTCTATGGTATCCCCCTTGATTTCTAATTGCCGAGATAGCATGATTACATGGGATCCCACTCAATTGCGACCTCCTACACGAACACGTCCTGTCGGCCAAGTCCACACTGTGTTGTCTTCCATCAGCGCAAGATATCTGATAATGCTTGTCATCTGACTTGATCGGAATACAATTTGCCACATTTGCTCTATTCCTTCGAACAACCTTCATTGCCTTCGGGCAAATCACCAAGTCCCCACATTTTCTGCCAGCGTGATCTCTATTAGCTTGCAATCGCTTCATAAGGTACACTTGAATCTCTTCAAAAATAGATAAAATATGCTTGTCTCGGGCCTCGGATATGACACTATTAAAACTCTCACACAAGTTATTAACAAGCAGGTCACACTTAGAAAATAGCTTAAAGTGTGACCTGCTCCATTCCTCAGCAGACTTTGCTCGAAGCCATTCCCACGCCTTTTCGTCCAACTCATTTACCTCATCCATCTTCTGTTTAAATTCACCAACAATGGGGGCCCTTACTGCCTTCCATAAGGCATTCTTCAAGGCTGTCCCTTTGAAGCAAGTGGTCAAAAAGTTATTATGTAAGTGCCATACATAACATCGGTGTTCTTTCCCAGGGAATACATCCAACAATGCTTGCACAAGTTCTTTATGTTTATCGGACATAAAACAACCTTCCCATTCAGACGTTATTTCCAAATCCCTCTTCAATAATGCTAGGAACCAAGTCCATATATCCTGAGTCTCATTGCCGCTGATGCAAAGGCTATCGGAAAAATTCAATTGTTTGGATTCAAACCAACAACAGACAACAAGACTCTCCCATAAACAGTCCAAGATGACATCCATCAATGTCAATAAAAGGCCTACAGCCTTCCTTGAAACCCCTTTTCAGCGCATCGAGGCAAATATACATTTTGTCAAATGTGGAGTTATCCCCATCCACCTCGGTCCCTAACACAGCAGTTGTCCCAGGATTAGATTGCAGTAGTGCGTGGGTATAATCCCAAATTCTAGCATACTGATGTGTGGCATCCCCTTCCAACTCTTTCAAAGCTCTTTATTTGGCCCTATAGGCGATATCCTTTGACACATTTACTCGTAATTCGTTGATAACATCCACTCTGAATCCTTTCATTGTTCTTTTCGGGTCGGATTTGAACTTATTTGCATACTTATCGCTCAACCACTTCGTTTTCATATTGGACAGGTTGAACTTCTCCTCACAAGTATGCTCTCCTTGGTACACTGAGATCTCAAATCCAATTCCATCATCCATCACACGTGCATGAATTTTCCAGCTACAACTGATGTCACCACAAATAGCATACACTCTTTTCGGGTCAACTTTTGTGAACTTTATTTGCCTCCAATTGACAACAGCGTAGGAGTTCACATCTTTCAACTCATTCATGCTTTAAAAGGCCATACCAATTTCAAACTTTGGTGAAAACAGATCAACTTCTTGGAATGTGGGAAAAGGTTTATCCTTTAAGCCACCGTCGTCTGATTCTACCAATTCTGCAAGTTCATTATCAGTCTCCAACATATCATCTTCTGTCTCATGCTCGGCATCCCCCTCAAATGCACTATCTCTCCTTTCATCCATATGCTTTTCTCCGCTCCTTCCAAATCACCGATAATCTCCTCGGATACATCATTCACATTATCATCAAATAAAAAAGCATCCTCCTCATCAGTATCTGAACCCATGAAAAATTCACTGCCAGATTCAGAAGCCTCACCTACTTGTATGCCCTCACCCTCTCCTACCTTATCAACTTCAATTCCTTCTGTCACCTTACCAGATAATTCCTCAAAAATCCCATCCATAAATTCATCGAACAGATCATCATTGCACTAATCCAGTTCTGATTCAGTATAATACTCTACATCAGACTCGAACTCACCATCTGCATCTATCACTTCTCCTATATCCACAAACACATCTAATTCACCAACTTTTCCACCTATGTCTTCCGATCCTATTTTCCTAAGGGATTGATCATCTACTACCAATCTAAAGCCCTCATCTCTATATATGTAGAAATCCAACTTACCGGTGCTCGATACCACACAAGTAAAAGCATATCTAAGTAGGCTTAAGAAAATTTACCTCGATTGGTTCAAAAGATGTCTTCTTGCCCCCCATGTATTTTGGGTTGGGAGTCAAATATAATTTTTCCCTATAGAATAGAGTTATTGTTGCTTTGCTAGGGGGTGGTGGTCCAACACCTAAGATTCAGAGCGAAAAAGAACTGTCAAGCATCAAATTGGGTCCACAATAGCTAAGTAATTAATTCATAAAAATGAGAACACAACTGGAACACGACAAAAATAATCACATCTTATGCGATTAATTACAGGTAGAACGGAACACAAACCCACATACTTTTTTTTTTATTCGACAAAAAAAATATCAAACCCTAAGCACAGAGAGAAAACCATACCTAATTTGTAGTCATCGCCCTACCCTAGTTCCAAAACAATATAGTTTTTTCGCAGCGATTCCACCCCACTCGCCCACGAGGTGGAGTATTTGTGCGTCGCGCTGTGCGGTTCAACGTCGGCGGTGGAAACAAAGGTGGGCCAACGGTGGAATCAACACGGAGGTGCGGGAGATCGATGTTAGGGAGGAGATTAAACTAGGGCTCTGTTTACGGGTACAAATCAAAGGGAATGGGATTGTCTCTCGTGGATCTAGGGTTCAAATTTCAATTTGATCCAATCGGGCCAAATTGAAATTTTTTATTTTTTATTTATATTTTTTAAATAAATTAAAATTCCATGTCACTCCTCCGACATCCACGCAAGCGACAACACACCACCGACAAAGTCCATGTTTGCACCGATAATGCCACATAGGCACACATGATAGTCACGTGTATTTTCCAGGCGCCGGAGGGTAAAAATCTTGCCCGAAGAACACATATTGTCCTAAAATGCGAAAGTGAAAAAAAAAAAGTCTGAAAATGATAATTGGACCTACATACAGGGTATATTTTTGCAATTTTCCCTAAAATTTATATAAAAAAAAAAACAAGGCAAAGATACGTTTGGATAAAAGACCAAAAAGTGGATTGAAAAGAAATAAGGTAAGGAAAAAAAATCAATCCGAAGTTCGAGGACATAAATGCTTAGCTAGGACTCAAGGTATGGACTTATTACTACATTGTAAATTTTTTTATTTATTCAAAAGTTTTAAAATAAATTTATTTACTATGCAGTCAAGTATTAATGAGTTCTATCTAGTACCTAGTAGCATTGCAACAATGCATCACAGCCTTACCAAGTCCCTCGAGAGCAAGTTGTTTTGGAAAGAAAATTATATATTTTTATTTATAATAGTTCTGAATTTATTTAGTTTTGTTTCTCCCCATTTTAGATCACAATATTAGTCCAATATCAAACATACAATCTTATTACCACAATGAGAGCAAGTTGTTTTGGAAAAAAAATTATATATTTTTATTTATAATAGTTTTGAATTTATTTAGTTTTGTTTCTCCCCATTTTAGATCACAATATTAGTCCAATATCAAACATACAATCTTATTACCACAATGAGCCGAATTATTCTATGAAATTTACCGAGTTACTTGAGGTATTTTCTTTGTGATGATATGTGTTTCCATTTAAATGAATTACTTTACTATTTTTTGTTTAAATTTTTTATCTTTCATATATTTAGGTTCGATAATTGCGTATTGGTGGTAAAAGCAGTGATTATCATAATCTCTAAAGTGTTGAGAGTTTGCCACAAGAAAGTTGGGTGGCAGTTGCGGTGGAAGGATTTTCATTTTAATTAACTTTATATGTAATATTGTAAATTGTAATGGTTGATGTGGTGAAACAATGTATGTATGTAAACTTCAATTGAGAAAAGAAGGAGAATGGGGAGAGCAAGTAGTGAGTAGACTTTGAGAATTGAAAACTTATTGAACTTTGGTGTTAAACAACATTGTATTGTAAATTTGCAGTTGGGATATGTATGTATGTATATTTTATCCAACATAATATTAGAAGAAGATGTTCCTTGCTTGCTTTCTGAGAGTTTATAATTAATTGGATATGTTTTATTTTAATGATATGTAGTAGTAGTTATAGTAGGCAATGAATATGTATGTATGCATGCATTACTTTAATGATATGTAGTAGTAGGGAATTAATATATATGTATGCATGCATGCTTTATTGTTGGATCATAGATATAACAAGGATCTAACAAATTCACAAGAGACGGATAACAAGATGTATCATATCTCCAGGATTTTTATTTTCTATTTGAAATTTGTCTACTTGAATCAAGGAAGCTGCCAAAAGTATTTCATGATGATCCATATAGATGATTTTGATAAAAATATAAATACAAATAACATAAATAGTTGTACTGTGAGGATAAGATTTACGTCTTTTAACTTTGTAAATTTAAACTCTTGTCCTATGAAAGGCATTCATTTTTATGATTTAAATCTCATGCTAATACTCTCATAATAAAAAATAGGTTGCACGAATTCATGGATAATATATATAACATAACAAACAAGTTTCACCAAGTTCATTCAAAATTACAAACGCCACCCGCTATCGAATATAACATGTCAAGTCTAAATACATACATACAAAAATATAGATACACAAAATTGCATATTGAAAAACAATATTCTAGCAACAAAAAAAATAAATAAAAAATAACCAACAAAAATATTATCAATTTTCTTTGGAGCTTCACTTCAATGTTCTTTACTTCTTTTTTGAATTCTTTCTTCACTTCATTCTTCGATTCATTCAATTCGTTCTCTAGTTTTTTCACCTTATTTATTAACTTCCATATGTCTATATGATTGTCTTCCCACTTGAAATAATTACATTCATCAATGGTGTATCTAAATTTGAACAACAGGAAAATGTTCTCCCAGAATTGAGTTTTGTACATGAAATTCACTTTTTTACCGGCGAGCCACATGAACAAAGCTAGTCTGAGTTCACAGAGGAGGTAGATGGGTGCGTCATACAGTAAAATTACAAGTACATTAGTTTATGTACATGAGTCCGAAAACTTAAAACCAACAAACTAATGTCATAGTTAGACATTAAAAAGAAAAATTGTCGATGAAATCAACTTAACATATTTAGAAATAAATCATAAGTCAACATATCAAATAAACTAAAACATATCTATCAAAAAGCTTGCATGAGAAACTAAAAACAACATTTTTATAAGAAACAGTAGGCTTACTGAATGATCAAATAACCTATTTTGTATTGGGGTTTGATTAAATATTTTCTACTATGCCTATAATAAATTGACCCATCATGAAATAAAATACTAGTTTTGTCTTCTAATAAAAATATCGTAGGAAAAACTGACCTTCCAACAAGGGTTACAAGATACTGATCCAATTCTATACGATAATTGCTCAAATAAGCATTCACAACACATGTCATTCAGTAATAAGTTCAACAGTATTATCATGTCAAGTAGAAACTGTCCACATATGGTTCACAGGAACCATACAAGTGGCCCGGTCAATAAATATAAGAATAAGATCTATTGAGTTTGGATAAATGTAAAATAGATAAATTTCCAGTCCCGTAAGGGATGGCCTGGTGGTGTGGGAATAGACTCGTGACCGTGAGGTTATGGGTTCAAACTCCAACGCCTCTAGGTCTTGCCTGTCACACATGGTTCACCTAGTGTGACTTGTCTTGTCGGGTCTAGTTTGTAGGCTATTACGGCCAGAGGTTTATCCGGTGCGCACATCTTCATTACTTATTCTTGCTTAAAGCATGGACCTTGTCTATCTCATTAAAAATTTAGGAAACATTATTTAAAGAAAAAAAAAAACAAATAATTTACCATAAAAATCTCCAATTTAATTATAAAAAATTTTGAAAATATGAATTAGAAGTAAACAATTCAAACAATTGTTAATATGCCAAACGTACAAAAACACACTACAACAAAACATTTAATCAAACCCCAATACATCCACACAACAACAAAAAAACATTTAATCAAACCCCAATACATCCACACAACAACAAAAAAACATTTAATCAAACCCCAATACATCCACACAACAACAACAAAAATGTAGAAAAAGAAAGGAAATAAACATACAGAAACAAAAAGAAACTTCGTCGGCTGCGAAGTCGGAATGGGAAGTGTATTAGGTTAAACCTAATAAAAAATAAGAGAAAAAGAAAATCAATGAACAACAAAATTGTAATTTGACCAGAACAGAGCATGCGTCTTTGGCGGAGGTGTTCACCAGTCGTCGGTGTCGCAAGAAAAATAGGACTGAAATGGTATTGCGGGAGAGAGAAATAATTTTGGACATAAGTGTTAACAAAAGGGAGAGAAAATAGAAGATAGGAGGACATATTGTAATTCTAATTAAATTAATTATTTTTTTATTTAAAAAATATTAAACAAGTGAAAACACATGTTACTAAATAAATGATTTTAAGGATTAGCTTTAAACTGAAGATCTCATAGGTTCTCTCACTACAAAAAAATTGGCTTTTTGTAGTGGTATATTGTCCATAAAAAAAAGTTCATCACAAAAAGAAGTTTTTGTTACGAAATTTGTCTAGATAAAAAGTTTCTATTATTGGTCAATCTTTTTATGTATTTGTTTCGGTACTTTATCTGTAATAATAACATTTGACACAAGATATCGTCCTATATATATTTGTTACGCAATTTAAACCGTAACAAAAAAAATAAATATTATAATTATATATAGAAGAAAATATATATATACAATTATTTTAAAATTTAAAAATATTATTATTTATTTCGGTGATATATCTGTAACAATCACATATAGAGACGAAGTATAGTCCTATATATTTTTTTTTATAATTTAAATCTTAACAAAAAAATTAATATTATAATTAAAATTTAAAAAAATCTACATAAAATATTTTTAGAATTAAAAAAATATATATATATTTTATTTAAAAAATTTATCCATATTAAGATATGTATTTGTTGTACAGTTCAAACCATAACAAAACTAATACTATTATATTTATAAATAAAAATAAAAAAAAATTATAATACTGTATTTTAAAGTTAAAAAAAATGCAAACACCTGCCCCTCTACAAAATATACAAACCCTGCGGCACCGTCCTTCACCCCTTCTTCTTCCTTCTCTTTCTTTTTTATTTTTTTATTTTTCCATTTCTTCTCCACTCCATTGTTGTTTCGAAGGGACAACCATTGGGCGCCGGCCGCCCTGTTCGGGGGCAACAGAGACTCTGAGTCGCAGTACATCTCTGCTCTGTCAAGAGGATTGAGGGACATTCGCCGTGTAGCTCCGCCCCTGCGGCGGACGGTAGCAATTTCCCCGTGAGCGGGCACCGGCGACAACGGAAAGTATGGTGGTTAGCATGGAAGGTGTAGCAGCAACGGTAATCTTCTAGTTAACAATTTTGAGATTGTACGATTTCTTCATTCTATTGTTTTTGTTTTTTTATTTGAGGCAATTTTATTTGTAGGTTTTTTGCGCCGCTGCGCTGTTTTATTATGATTCATTTTTGTTTAGTCTTTAGCCACAGAGATTGTTGATTATTTTGCTAAAAGTTGTGTTTAGGGCGTGTCGGTTAATCCATAGGGTTGGTTTTGTGTTTTGTTTGAAGAGAAGATATCTAAGGTTTGAATTATGTTAATTTCATTGTCTTGAGAGTTCATAATGACACTAAACTCACGCCTAACATAATATTATATTAATCTATTTTATTTATTCTTCTTACTATTCATATGTGTATATATATCACAATAATCTCTACTCAGGATTAGACACCGATGAATAGGTTTATCATTGCTAAATCAATTACAACCTGAGACCAAGCAAGCAAGCTTAGCATGTGGTTTGAACAGAACATTAAGTCCTGTCCATTGATGCATCCAACCTACCCCATCTACCTTTTCCTTTCTTGACCACACTACACTTTGTACTCTACTCTACTCTATTCTAGTGAGAGTGAGAGGAAATTGTGGAAGCAGGTGGCAATTATATCTACATTTATGTGTATTGTATTGTAGCATGTTAAAGTGGAAACTTACTGCTTACTGCTATACAACAAAACATACACTAGAAAACTAAAGGAGAGCGATCAGTATCACTTTGAATTCAAATTCATCATAGCTATGGAGAAATTCTTTCTTTACTTTATCAATAAATTTGTAGAGTAGATATACATATATAGATCATAATAGATGATGGACATGTATATATAAATATATATATATTCCACCACCAGCAGCTATTATCTAATTATTTGGTTGTATATACATATATTTAGTAGCTTAGCTTAGCTTAGGGTTGAAGAAGAACGAGAGAGAGAGAGAGATGGAATTTGGTGAGTGAGTGAATATACAGTCAAGGAACCACTTCTGTAAAACAACTACTTAGACGGCCTTGTTTTATAAGTGCACTATGGATAGATCAAGTTCAATGCTATATAGTGGTGCTAACTTGGTACGCTATGAGGCAAGACTATTGCGTGCTTTGTGGACAATTAGAGTTTAAATAGTTTGACGAAGATTTGTGTTTGCAGGTAAATTTGTTATATTTGAACAAGTTGTTTACTTGGACCTGCTCAAGATGCAACGGTTTGATTGAGGGCAAGTATTAGACACTTTATATGACACCTAATAATGCTACACATATTCCTACTCATGGTACAAATAATTAAAACTATCTTGATTTCTAGAACTTTGAAATCATTGAGCTGGTTGTGATGTGAAGCACTGCCTACAGGTTTGGTCAAGTGTTATTAACTTCTCCTATTTCTTTTTCTTTTGAATCTATTTAAAAAAAATTCCGAAGAATATTTTCCTCTCACTCAATCTCTTTCATAGATTATAATGTAGTGTGAGCTTTTTGTTCGATGCAGGCATTTGTTGGCTTTGCTGCAGATCTTAATGCCACTGTGATTGCATTCAAAGGAACTAATGAAAAAAGGTTCAATCAATCAATGGTACTTGAGTGCTTCATCACCGATCTATATGATTACCTGCATATATTACTTTGTTTCACTTTGATACAAACATCAATATTGATTTCATATGTTATGCTCCTATGGACTACAAACTACTTTGAATAATCTCTTCAAAAAAATTTTTATTAGAACACACCTAATTTGGTAAAAAAATAAATAAAGTTCCCAAGAAAAAATGGATGTAAAGATTTAATTTATCACAATAAATAAAACTTATGATAAGACAATTATGTCATTTAAAATATAAAAATTCAAATCATTCAATTAATGTGCAAAACAAAGTGGATTTGAAAAATATAAATTATAAATAATTTTATCAACCAAACATATGATATAATTCCAAATCCTAAATGCAATTAATACTATCACATATAAATTATCACATATAAATTTTATTGTAAAATCTCAATCTCATAAAAAAAAATACGTGAACCAAACAGACCCTTATTATTATTATTACTCTTTCTCAATCATCCAAAGTTCCCATTTTCTATTTTTTTACTATAAAAAAATTATTTTTACTCAATTTTCTTGAATTCATGTCCAATCAAATATGCATAATGAAGAAAGTATTACTATTATGATTAATATTACAACTATTTTTAAAAATCAAATGATATCCTGCTCCATGCCTTTCTTATACAAAGTGAAATATATTATACTTTACGACTCTCCACGCCTCCTACGCCTCCTCACTTAAATAATACATATACACTCTCTGTGTGTATATATAGTAACAAATATATATATATATATACACATGCATACATTATACGTGTGATTCTTTGGGAGTTTGGATATTTTATTCGGATTTGAATAATTAAAATTTTAAATTGAAAAATTAGTATGACGTGATATAAATAGGTATTGATTTGGTATTTTGAGTGTAAAATTAATTTTTTGAATAATAAAAAATATAAATAAATATTAAATTTGATATTTTGAAGAGAAATTTTTTAATAAATAATAAAAATTTTGATAAAATTACACACTTTATATATGATATATTATTTATATATAAACATTGTGTATATATACTGTTGGATTATACTGTAAAGCAAACTTTTAGTACGCTTTTGTATTATTCAATTTCCTTATTAACTGGAATAAATAAAATAAATTGTTATTTCACATTGTGTTGCTTTTATTTATGTTTTATATATATTAGCATGTCCACTTATTTAATATTGTAGACAACATGGTGTGTGGAGATCACACAGAAGATCTTGTTGTCAGTTCTTTATTAAATATAAATGGGTTTCACAACTGAGATGGTTATGGACAAAACCATCGGTTTAAGTTGTAGTGTAAACTTGGAATTAGTTTGTCTTGACTATTAGTTTACACTAATGTGCTGCGTCACATTGAAAGGATCACAGTTGAGATATGTTCTTCTATTCTGACATTGAAGAACCAAAATCTCGGTAACTCTGTTAATTCTTAACCTTAGATGAAATAAATTAAATATATGGAATAAATGTTCGTTGCTTTAATTTACCATAAGTGAGAATCCTTAGTGATTCAATATGCTTCGTATTTTGGGCAACTACATTATTCGCATAGTAATTAATTTATTATCATTAAGGCACCATGTCCTGGACATCCAGGTTGATGACATCCCCTTAAGGAACTCAATAAGGATTATTGTATAAACCCTGCAGGTGGATTTAATCCGTACAATAATAAGTTTTGAGTGGTATCACTCAAGGAATTAAAAGATATTAATTAATTAAATTGTCAGAAGATTTAATTAATTAATGGATGTGGAACATCTTAAACATGGGGAATTAATTAAGTTTAATAGAAGCCCAGATTCAATTTGGGTTGGGCTGGGAGTGCAATATTAATTCTTTAATGGAATGAATTAATATTTTATGATTCGAATTATATTCAGGGCTGAATATAGAGATTTGGATCTATAAGGGAGCCCGAGCCCAACACCTTCTAAAGATCCCCGGTCTGGCCCAATTACCTGTTGGGAGACTTATTAATATGCGGTCTTTGTCAAACCCTAGTGACGTTTTTTTTTTTCAAAAAAAAAAGGAGGCGAAAACCACAGGTGCAAGCCGTCGGCTCTAGGGTTTCACGAAGAGCAAAATTCGTCTCCCTCCGTTTGATAGATCGCCGCCCATCCGGTGTTCGAGCGGGGTTCGGGAACAGTCTGGAAGGTCTCTAGCGGAATTAACCTGTTCGTGATTGCTGTTGGTGGTTCCAAAAAGGGTACATCTCTAGTTCATTCTTATAGGAGCATGCTTAGGATCGTTTAATACCATGTATGTACGCGTTGGCATCCAACAACGATCCGTGGGAATGAACAGCCCTCACAGGCGTGTTCCTACAATTGGTATCAGAGCAAGGTTTCGTGGATTGTTGGCTCTGCCAGAAAACGTGTAGTTGGTATTGTCTTTAACGTTTTCGCATGTAATGTATGGAATGAATGTTTTTTTTTTTTTTTTTTTTTTTTTGTGCGTGTATGTTGTTTCCCTTCGCAGCCCTTTTGGTTTTGTTGTAATCGTTTTTCCCACCAGATAATAAGTGTGGGTAGATAGGCGGTTTTGTATATAGATCCATGTATGTAGGGCTTTTCATGTTGTTTTGAGTTATACTGCGTAATTCTGAAAATGACATGAAAAAGGAGGCGATTTGGAAGCAGTTCGCATAAGCAGAACAGCCACGAACGCAGTGGGGCAGCGAAGCAGAGGTGGCGCTGGAGGTAAGGGCGGACATGAGGCTTGTAGTGACGGCCAAGAAACAATTTTTGGTGATGGAAATTAGGTTTTCGGCTTTTGGGCCGAAAATCTAGGGTTTCCGTCGGCTGAAACTGTTTTGGCCATAACTTTTGCCTCGGTTGTCCGTTTTCAGCCCATGATACCTTTTCGGAAACGGGAGGACGAGATCTACACGAATTACGGCTATGCCGTAACGGCGAATGCCGCAGCCAAACTCGATCGTCTTCACGAAGTTTTCGCGACTTCTTCCCGAGGCGGCCCGGTTCCAGTTTTTCCATCGCGTGAGAGGCCGATGTCTAGCATCTGTCCGCGCCCCTTTTAATCCTGTAATAGTTGTCTTAGGCTATTGGTTAGGGTTTTAAGGGCTGCGTGGGTATGCTTTTAATTTTCTGCCTTTTATTGCTTTGTGGATGTATTTAAATTAATGCTTGCCAAAGTATTATGTGATATGCATGATTATGTGACAGGCATGATTTAAATTTACAAGCATGTTAGGAATCATGTACTAGATTTGCAGAATTAATTTTCTAGAAGCATGCTAGGGCTTACGTGATTTGCATGTTAGGAGCATGCTAGGAATTTAATTATTCTATGCATGCTGTCAAAACCTTAAAGTTTAAATGACTAAGTATTTAAGTTGAATTATTATTAATTCATGGGCCTCCATAATTGATCTTTAAGTAAAGTGTTTGTTATACGCGGGATCCATGGGGTCTCCTCCCTAACGGATATTAACATGCACAAGTTTACTAGATAAGATTTCAATTAAAGTGATTTAATTTTAAGTAAAGTGTGTGGCATACGTGGGATCCATGGGGTCTCCTCCCTAACGGATATGTCACTCATAAGTTTACTAGATAAATTAATTTGTGATAACTGTAGGAGATTATTTGCATTAAATATGACTGCCCTTCGGTTGCATATTAACTGTAAATAGTTGTCCTTGGCGTTAAATTATGGTCATTACTTAGATGTGGATTTTAAATATAACCCCCCAACGGGGTCCCTGTTTTAATTCACATGGCCAGTTCTAAAGTATCGGCAATTAATTTCATTCGTCATAAGGATAAGTTGATGAGATAATGAAATTATAGGCTAGCTGCCTGTTTGGTGAATGCATGTGTAAACGTCCGTCATAACATGGCTTGCATGTGCGATTTACTGAGCTGTCGTGATATGTATAATCTCGTGGTTTTTGAGGTTTTCCCATGATTTTATGCTTATGTGTTAATGTGAATTACTGCTTACGTGTTTGCATGTTTCTGTTTGTTTATTTCAGTTATCAAAATGTCGTTCAATCCACTTATGACTGTTCTCAATCAAAACAAACTCGTTGGTCCGAATTATTTGGACTGGAAACGAAATCTGGACATTGTCCTTGCTGCGGATGACTATAAATTCGTCCTAAGCACCCCTGCTCCAGCAGACTTAACTGAGGAATCCACTGAAGAGGAAAGGGAGGCTCATCGGAAGTGGCATAGGGCTGATCAAATGAGCCGTTGCTACATATTGGCGTCAATAACCAATATGTTGCAATTGCAGGTTGAAAAGTTGCCTACTGCTGCTGACATGATGTTGAGCCTCAAGGAGCTCTTTGGTGAGTCAGATAGGGCTGCTCGATTTGAGGCAATGAGGAAGATTATGACTTCCTTCATGCCAGAGGGAACTTCTGTGCGTGAGCATATTCTCAAGATGATGGAAAATCTGAATGAGATAGAGCTGCTCGGGGGTCAAATCGATGCTGACACCAAGATCGATATGATCCTGCACTCACTCCCTAAGTCCTACGAGAATTTCCGTCTCAACACAATCCTGACCAAGAAGGACTATACTTTAGCCGAGCTTCTTGTGGATTTGGTTGCAGCGGAGGGACTCATGGGTAGGACTCCACAGGCGCTGTTTTCTGCGCAGTCTGGACCTTCTTCGTCGAAAGGCGGGAAGAAGAAAAAGCCTGCCAAGAAAAAGGGTGCTGCAAATAGTGGGAGCAAGTCGGTCGCGCCTTCTGGTGGCGTGAAGAAGCCAAAGGGGAAGTGCTTTAAATGCAGCAAGACAGGACATTGGAAAGATGATTGTCCCCTTCTGAAGGGCAAAGATGGTACGTCTTCTACTTTGCTTGTTGAAACATGTTTCGCGGCTAGTTCTACCAGTATTTGGGTAGTAGATACAGGAGCCACTGATCATGTTTGTTGTACAATGCAGGGGTTCCTGCCACCAAGGCAGCTGAGTGAGGGCGAGATTATCATAAGCTTGGGAGATGCAACCAGAGTGGCAGCGGTTGCAGTGGGA